ATAACTCTATACAATATACCATTTTAATCGGTTAACAAATAAGATTAACGATTTGTTCATGTGGCATAAATTAGCGTCAATAATAAAATTATATTTATTTCAGTCTGAAACGTATTGATGGCTTCAGCAATTGCCTTATAAATAAATATTTTTGATATGGGTGTGAAAGTTAAAATAAAAGTATCCGATTATTATAACGATATTCATATTTTCTTACGGAAAATCCTCCCAGGTAGGAAAGGCAAATAATGATTATCTTAACTATTGTATCAAAGCACTTTCGATTAAATATTTGAAGACTCGGGCTCTTAGGATTGTCTAGACATTTTTGTGCCAACGTGAGCCAGGTCCGACTTAAATGGGAATTATTTGCGCAAGCCAGTGAACGGACTTTGCAATGGCCAAATGGGTGGGTCAATAGACGGTTAAAGCCAACTGTCCCGGCATTGAGCATGCATCCGCTGGCGCTAATTTATTCAAGTCAATTGACTCGCAGCGAACCGAGCTCAGTTTTAGTTGGCTGTGCACGGTAATGTCGGGCGGAGGCTGGCCTCATTAGCATATTCTAATTAATTTATATTATTCCAAAATGCACAAAACTTAATTGGTATGTACCACTTAGTTAATGAAATTGAAGCTTCCACCAAGCCGGGACACTCTCCAGCCCTTTATACCATTCTGTTATTCATGCAAAATTCTTAGCCGTTGACAATTTGGCGTGACTCGGAATGAAAGCCAGGCACTCCGCACTCCGCTAGTACTTGATGGAAAGTTTCGGCTGTACTGGGTTGCCAACATTACATAACAATTTCTGAGTCCGCCCCCACAGACGCGCTCTCATTAAGGAGCAGCTCCTTTCTCGAGAGTTCCAGCGTTGTTGGCAAACAAATTTGAGGCACCGTCTTCGCCGAGTTAGTTATGACTGCCAACTTTGCGACACACAATTTGCATTTGGGCTTCCCTCCTGGCCAGGATTTTCAGTGTTTCCAAGTTATTTCTTTCTCCCTGTTTGACAACAGAAGGACATGTGTTCCAGTTTCTCGATGGGCTCCCCTTCCCTCCCAGCTAATTTATGCCAAGACAGTTGTGTGCTGATGCGGATACGATTGCCAGAGACACACCTTTGTGTGTGTCTCCGCATAAATGCCTTGTTAATTTCACAAAACCCGGCCAATCGTTCCCCACTCGGTGGGATTCGACATTCCCCCGAAGTCCCCACACCTCAGACCCTTGAGAGTTATCCGGTGGCTTGGTTTGCCAGCTTGCCTTTCCCAGCATGACCATTGTTTGCCTACACAATTATCACCCCTCCAAAGCCCCAACTCCCGACCGGGAATGTGCAATGTCAGGATTGGAGCCGTCTTTGGCTATACGCCAAACAATGCAGCTTCAATTACCAAGCTGCTTACAGCTTGTTTAGCTGGGAATGCTTTTGTTCGAATCCTTGGTGGCTAGGCTCAAGGAGTCTCATTCCCAGTGCCAATTAAAAGGAGTGTAGGTGGATTGTTTATCAACAGACACCTACGGCGGATAACCTCAAGTTTTTCCCAAAGATGGAGTCTCTCAAATTGAGCTTTAAATACAAAAAATATGTTAAAGTGTTCACCGAGTATCTCGAGTCTGCTTGAGTGTTTGTAATGCTTTTAAAGCCATTGAGCAGTGAGGAGCATACAATGTCGCATTTATTATTTATGGGTTTACTTATCAATTAAACTTTTTATCTTAATAATTTTTCTTTAAGAAAAATAAACAGTTTTTAAATTGCCATTTAAAAGTCAGTGTACATGATCCAGCAAAATATACTGGACGAATGATTTTGACATTTTGCACAGTTCTTCTTTACTAAATTCCTCAGGTAATCCTATCGAGTTTTTTTTGTTTTTGCAACAATTTATTATTTACAGAAACAAATAGCTCGGATTTTTGGGCGAAAATCGAAGTTTTTGACTTTCATGTGCCTTTAAAAATCGGAAAGAAAATAAAAAATAAAACCTCGACAGCGTTACCTGGGGAAATTTGTCCTTTAAATAATGACATTTGTTTTTTTTCAATTTAGATGACTCTGCGAAATGACTATATCTCACTCACTTTTCAATATTTTTGGATGCAAATTTTTACACATATTGTTGTTGTATTATCAAATGGGAACTGAGATAAAATAAAAATTCGTACAAAAATTAACGATTTTGCATAGAATTAACCATACCCTTAAATTATTTTCGAGTTTTGACAAATCAAATAATTGATCAGAAGGATTTGCCGCAATTTGTACAAAAATCGTAAGCCTCTGCTAACTTACTGAAAAAAGTCATCAATCTGCTCTAAAGATAAGACTAAACGGATGTAAGACAACCCCGACCAGCCCCAGAAAATCTCATTCAACCTTGAACTGGAATGCGAATGATAAAGTAAGGCACTGAATGCCACTCAGGTTTGCCCCATTCAAATTGCTGGACATTAAACGGATGTCGATAAATGAGATTGACAATGACAAACATGAAAGCGAAAAAGTAGCCAGAACAGAGGGCGAATTCCCCAGCCCCCAGAGTCAATAAAATCCCGAAAAAGCAAAATCCCGCCCCTGTGACCTCCACTGGGATAAACTAAAAAAGGAAATGGTTAAACCAAAGCGGAGAGATCTGAGTGACAGCTGAACCTCCGCACCCGTTCCCCACAAATCCCCGTTCCATGGACCCGTCTCCGGGTTAACAGATGGCAGAACATATACGGTCACAGTGCCACATATGTCAACCGGAGCCAGTCCGGATGATTGCAGGGCCAGCGGAGGTACACTCACAAAAGTTCACTTTCGATTTCTTCTTAATATTATACGGTAGTATAAAATTGTATTTTATATCTGTTACTAAACTTATCACAAATCCTGTCAAAACAGTAAAAACAACTTAAATCCGTGCTTTCTGTAATTATTACATTTACAAACTAGTTTCTATGACAGACGTTTAATTTATTAAAGAACAGTAGTCCACAAAAACATTAATATTTATTAAACAATTAATTTAACATATTATAAAATAAAATAAGAAAACTACTTGGACTTGCACAAATTATGACAATGAGTTTTTCTATTTCAACGAAATTTTAATTTTAAAAATGTGCAAATCTTTTAAATCTTTTAGGACCCATAATTTTTTTGGTTTTATTTCAATTAAATCGAATTAAGCTAATGGAAATATTCTCGTTTTTTAATATTTAATTTAATGGTTAAACGCATTATTTTAAAACTATTATTAAATGAAGAAAGAAAACTAAAATTTTGCAGAGGCAAGTAGCTACTGCCATTTTTTAAATGTGCATTAAGGGGTTAGCCAAAACATTGAGATTGCCAACTGAAATGAGCAAATGTCAAGTGCAAGCCTAAAGAAGAAAAAGAAAAACAAATCAAAGCCAATGGCAGGGCCGGCCTTTGTCAGCGTTTTGTTTAAAAGCGAATTAAAGAATCCCCGTTTTGGGGGATGGTGACACTCCACACATTTCATGTGGGAGATTGCTTATTTGGCTGTTGGCCACTTGGCCACTTGGCGAGAGTGGCAAGTGCAAACATGGGCTCCCGGGAGCTGAGCGCCACTTGCTGCTCCTGCTGCATGTGCCATTTGCATAAATCAAATTTGAATTTGCATTGCTGCCTGCAACGAGCAGATGGAGTGGGTGAGAAAGAGCAGCAGCTGCCGTCGCAAAACTCAAAGCGTTCCTCACACACACACACACACGCACACAGGTGTGCCAGCTGGATTAACACGTACACAGGGAAGGACGAGTGCAGGAGGCAGGATCCTGCACTTGCGAGTTTGTGTGCTCAAACACGCACAGGGCAATAAGCACGCAGCCAAACTTACGCACGCTCGCCCGCAACACAATCGCAAAAACAAACGAAAATGCAAATACCAACAGCGGCAAAGCAGCCCAAAAACACACTCCCGACGAAAGACGCCCAAACGATGTGCCATTAAAAGGTAAAAGCCAGTCAGAAACTCTCTCTCAGTCAAGGACCTCGAGCCAAAACTTTCTGCACTCCTTTTTTATAGCATATTTTCGTGCGCTTATAAGAGCTTCATTTCAGAGTATTCATTCGATAGTCTTTACTACAGTAAGAATTGAAACGTAAAACGGCTTATTATAGGGCAAATTTAATATTTATCAATATAAAATAAAAATATCTAAATAGAAAAGAACACTTATTTTAACATTTAAGTGTATTTAGTATGGCCTTCATGTTTTTAAAACAAATACAATAATTCCTAGGACTTCATATTACAAATATTACCCATACGTCACGTTGCCTATGTATAATTTGAACACACTTAAACTGTATTTCCTGTTAGTTTATTCTAATCATTATTTATTATTATTAAAATTTTTTCTTTTTACCTATACGGTTGGTACTCTAATTTCAAAATAAATAGAAAAATGTCATACAATTTAGTTGTCGATACCTGAACCTCTATCTCCATATTATTATAGTTCATAAGTTTATGCCTCTGACAGTTTGGTTGGTGGCTGCCGTCGACGTCGGGCTCACATTTCCTTTGATTTCTTCGCAATTTCTTGCACATTAGCTCAACAACTTTCGTTGCTAAATTACGGTGTGCACACACACTCGAACACGTGCGAACACACACAGAAAGTGCATTAACATCCTGCCACGCCCATCCCACTTTGTGGCAACTTTTTGCCTTGTCCAAATTAAATAATAAATGCGCAAAGTTAAGCAAATTTATAATGTTGGGGCAAAATTGTTGAGTGACTTTTGAGTACATTTTTGCTGTCTACGGTAATTGCTAGTTAATTGGTTACCCCAGACAATTGCTGATTTATGAAAGTAAGAACTTGTAGACTTAGAAAATAACCGAATTATATTTTATGGGATTTCAACCGAGATAATCCGTAGGTAATATTTGTAGAGAACAGGTTGGCCATTAATAAGCTTTTGTTGTCATAGGGCAACCTTTTCAATAGAAGCTTAGTCATATTTTAAGCCGCTATTAAAGTATCGACTCGAAAACTTCCAATTTATTAAAGGAGATAAATTGCCACCAGGGATTCCATTCTCAGCGAGTGAAAAATACGAAGTATTCAGCTATTTTTTATCGTGTCACAAAAACCGCTTGGAGGCCATTCAGCGGCAGTGTCAATGTCGCTCCAGTGGATGAGGAGCCAGGATAATGCCCTTCAATCAAGTTTGCGGCCATATTGAATGACGTGACTGTTGCTCATTTCACGCTTGGCCTTCCTATTGTCCTGCCGCCAGGAGGCTGCCAGCCCGCCGGCTGATTACCAACGAGTTCGCAGGAAGTCCCGATAAGATTGCAGGTCCATAAACGCCAGGCCTCCTGTTAGACCTGAAATTCGGAAAAAACGACGTCAACGGTAGGAGAAGGTGAGACCACAAATCACTTCGAATTTCTATATCACCCGCCTGGTCGTTTCGGTGGGCTTCGGTTCTGTGTCGTCTTGGCACTCTCATCATTTGACGAAAACTCTAAAAAATAGAACGAAGAAATCAAACTAGAATTAAAAGCTTTCAAATAAAAGTAACCACATTAAAAGTGGTTAAGCTGTTAAGAAAAAATCAATTTAAGTTTCAGTTGGTAACGTATTTTCAGGACCTATTAATGTGCAAATAAAATATATAATCATTCATTTCAATAAATTGGTACAAACGAAAACTCAGTGCAACCCACATACTGTTTATCATACTTGTATAATTTAAAAACAAATCTATTTTACTTAAAAAAATCATATATTTATACCCGTTACTCGTAGAGTAAAAGGAATATACCCTTCGTATTCGTGCAAAAGTATGTAACAGCTAGAAGGAAGCGTTTCCGACCCTATAAAGTATATATATTCTTGATCAGGATCACTAGCCGAGTCGATATAGCCATGTCCGTCTGTCCGTCTGTCTGTCCGTCCGTATGAACGCTGAGATCTCGGAAACTATAAAAGCTAGAAGATTGGCATTTTGCATGCAGATTCTAGGAGTTCCTACGCAGCGCAAGTTTGTTTCAAAATGGTGCCACGCCCCCTTTAACGCCCACAATCGCTTATATACGATTTTAAAAATTTTAATATTTCGGAAAAGTAAAAATGCAGTTTTATTGTGTTTATCAATACCTATCGAAATGTAGAAGAAATTTTTCAAATCGGACCATTCGTTAAAAAGTTATGCGTGATCAAAGTTTCTATCACCATCTCCCTGGCACTTCCTTTACCTGAGTAACGGGTATCTGATAGTCTGGGCACCCGACTATAGCGTTCTCTCTTGTTTTATTTACAGCAGTGATAATTTTCTGCTGTACCAATTATTTAAAAAGTAAGATCTCTAAATTAGTTTTTTGGTTATTATTTAGTTAAAGGTGTGAGCCATACTCGTAAAATTCCGTTTACTTGGTTCCATGTCAAAGGCAACGTCTGGAAGATAAGTTAGTTAAATCAGCTTGTATAAAAACAGTATGGATAACTATCATTTACATGTAGGTCTCTGGTTGGGTGCATCTTTCACTTCTTTCACACTTTCAGCAATGTTTGGATTTAATAAACAGGCTTTCCCAGAATCTAAAGTGTTTGACACGTCAGCTTGATTGGCATCCTCTTTATCTTTTGGTTCCGTCTCTTCTTCTCTACTAAATAGAAAATTGGACAGAACTCCACTGCCACCATAACCGCCTTCCGTTCGTGTATCCTTGCTACCACCGGCAGCACCACCACCACCGCCACCACCACCGCCACCACCACCTTCACCTTCGTCCTTTCGACTTTCCTTACTACTTAAAAAAGGCTCCATAATCTCCAGAGGAATGGGGTAAATGATCCTGACACGTCGCTCCGAGGCAATCGACGAAAGGACTTGCAAGTGCCTCAGCTAAGCCAGAACGAGAAGCTTTACTTATATAGTTCAGAAACTTAAGAGCTTTACCTGTAGTGTGATCCTGTTCTCCGACATCACATCTGATGCCTCCTTTAGTGCCTTTGAGGCCTTTAGCTCGCCTTCGGCCAAAATAATCTTGGCACGTGCTTCCCTCACAGCCTCGGCCTCACTGGCCAAGGATCGCTCCAAGCTGGATGGCAATCTGATATCCATCCTAAGGTCACAAATTAATTACTCAAGTCGCTTTAAATAAATTAATGTTAAATTTTGTTGTACTCATTAGCTTATAAGAAGTAAAATGTTTTCGTCGTGTTTTCCTAATATGATAAACTTTTTTGCGTATATTTTTTTTAAGAGTAATGTTTATTAGCTTTCGTATTTGCTAATGGCTAGGTGGGAATTGAATTAAAAAGTTAGACTTTGCATAATCTTTTGGATTGCATTGAAATAGAAAGCAAGTTTTGGTCTTTGGTATTTATAATGAAATAAAAAACGTTTGGTTTACGGTGTCAGAAACGCATTCGCCCAAACAAATATAAGTAAGATGAAGTAATATTTTGCTCACACGTCCACCCGTTCCACACGCACCCCCCAGCGAGCTGTAATTCCGGCCACCGCCTGCTGGATTTCCCGTGACAATTGCTGCCTGGAGGTCAGCAGGACATTTAGCGTCTTGGAGCCCACGATATTGCGGAGGGTGACCTGGGAAATCAGGTTCGTGGCCTGCCGCGCATCGTCCACCTGGATGATCGAGTCGATGGGACTGTAGATGCTAAAGTACACGACTGCGTTCACGGTGATCGTCACCGAGTCCTTTGTGAGCACATCCTGGGGTCGAACATTGGTGACGTCGGTGCGGAGATCTACCCTGTGGATGTCGTCGATGCAAGGTAAATAAAACACTAAGCCTGGTCCTCGAAGACCCTTTCTGCGGGAAGTGGAATTGAAAGTTATTCATCAGCCTTCTGGCCATATCAAATAGCTCCACCTAAGACGACCCAGGCGAAGGATAATAAGGCGAGCGAACTCGGGAACTACGAGTATGCAAAAGCACAGGGAGAATGGGAATGTGACCACCACAAGGATCCAGCAGATTATAATGACGCACTTCTCAAACGTGGTATTCTTATCGTTCTCAGCTGAAAAATAGATTGCTGATCACCTTTGAACCTCGACAGATGATTCGGTTTCCTTACTGGTTTGAATGTAACGACTTGGTGGAGGCCGACCGGGTCCACCTTCAGCTGAAGGTCTTTGAAATGGGGACTTTTCTTTCGGGTTAGATACATCCTGCCCTCGGTTCCCCTCGTTGTGATCGCCCATAACGACAAATTTAAAATTATTTATTTGTACAAAAAATAAAGCACGTCACTCGTGTGTATGATGTTTCATTCAAAGTAAACAAATAAACAAACAACATATGACCTCTGAAGGCCCCCTGCTCTACTCCAATGAATTTTATCATTTATTTCCACGAGTGGTATTCGGGTCACTAAGGAGGGGATGTTGAATTGCACATAGCCCGCAAGAGCTCATAAATTTCCCTTTTCCAACTAGAAAAGCTCAACTGCAACCCACTCACTGTCAGCCCACAAAACCCCAAAAGTGCACATTACTCTGCTTATAAGCAAGCCACTTTTTTCAAGAGACATCGGTGACAGACAGGGGAAAGGGTCAGAATATGAGATGAGGGATCGGAAGGTGGTGGAAATGTGTATATGTTTCAACAGAGAGTTAAACAAGTCACTGTTAGTCTTTTATTCGAAATATCTACTAATAAATTAATTTTCAACCTATTGAACATTCTTAAACAAGCCAAAAATTTGATCGATTAACATTTTACACACCAAGTTAAGAGCAAGCAAGTAAGCACTGAATCAGAATTTTGCCTAATTCAAATTTAGGTATAGTTGAAAATGGTTAAAGTTTAGATGGCAAAGGCAACTACAAAACGATCTCCGTTTAACTGTACTTACTTTTTAAATTATAGCTTTGCTACCAACAAAAACAAATTTCAAGACTTAACTATAATTTAATTGATTTTCAGAAACAAAACTAAATAAATTATCAAAATAATTTTTAATTAATGTTAAAAGTTTTTATACAATATGCTTACAACTCCGAAACGCACTGTACCGTAGGCGCACCTCGGCAAAAGTGTCAAAATCCGACATGGAAAAATGAACCCAACACGAAGAGCTCCTAATTTTAGTTGCAAAAGCCGCGTGGCGGGCTTCTTGGCAGGCAGCGCCCTTTGTGACGCTTCAAGCGGAGTCGCGGAAAAGTGGGGAAAGAATGGGGAAGCTGGAAAAGTGGCCGGAAGAGAAGGAGGGGGGATGGTCGGCGAGAGGGCTTCCGATGATAATACCTGGCGGCGCGAACGTGACGATGACTGGCACGATAACATTGAAATATTACCTTGGCCAAGTCTCCGCCGAGCCCTGCAAAGAGAAGAAGATTCCCGGATGGCGTTGCCCGTCATTCCGGCACCCATCGTGGGCAATTATAATTAGATGTGACTGACGGTGGGCGCTCAATTAAAAGCCACGTGGCTGGGCGAACACCGAAATTGGGTTAAAACGTGCAGTGGCAAATACTCGTGTGCAAATGCTGCGCCCAAAAACCACTCGAAATTGTTTCTATTTCAATTTGCCAGCCTGGTTTTCGGGGTGCGGAAGCGTGACATTTTGGCTGTACCGATATTTATGCTTTTCCGACTCAAATCCCCACATTTACACAACTTTTGGTTTGGCCAAGGGCCCCGGGGGGCGGAAAGCCATTGGGGGCGTGGCGCAAAAGTTTTCGTTTTCATTTTCATGCCAAATTTCGACACACACATCCGCGTCTGCGGTCAACTCCGGATCCACCCGGCCGGAAGCCTTCGGCAATGCGACGATAGGAAATTGGTTTATTTTATTCCCATCGACAGTTTGCTGCGGCCTTGAGCGGCGGGTGGCTTGTGGGTGGTGGTCGTTTTTGGGGGAATTTCCAAATTAACATGAAAAACGATTTAACGATTTCGCTCTGAAAAATCTAATTAAGAAAAAACAATTTCCGATTTTATTGCGCATTTTTTTTTGGCGAATACCGAAATAATTAGAACACCATTAGTTGGTTGCTTAACGTTTGTTTTTTGAGTGAGCTGCAGCCGCTTTAAGCCGGCAAATTGACTGGTTCAGCTCGGTTTTTGGTGGCAGCCAGGCAGCCAGGTCACTCTGCCAGTGGCCTCAGTCCGGCCGCGTACTAATGAAAACGAGCTCCAAATGAAGTTGGAGTCAACTGCAACAGCGGATGGCAATAACTAGGCCAAAATAAGTAGATGGACAGCATATGCGATAGATTCACTGCTAACACCAATGCTCTAATACACTTTGCTATCTTCGTTCCTAAAGTCCGAGATAAAACAGAGTTTAATGAAATAAAAATGTACTGCTAAAATTGTTTACATTTTTATATATTTCAAGTCACAGAAGTACATTTAAAACAATTTTTAACTTTAGTGGTGTTCATATTATACACCTATGTCAGTACATGAATAGAGTAGATTGTGAAATGTTCTTGTTCATGTATTTTACGATAATCATTTTTGTGTGACATACAAAAATTATTAAATAATGATAAACCTTAAAACGATATTAAATTTTAAAATTAGGAAAAATTTATATTGTTCAAAATTCATATTAAACATAATTAAATTCCTAAAATATTAAAATATAATATATACAACCTAATATAAAACCCAAACACATCAATATAATAAGTAATTCTAACCATCTTTAAACAAACATAGTAAAAGGCCCCGTATATAGTAAAATGCCCTTCTACGTTAGCTTTAGATTTATAAACTATTTTTTCATTTATAATAAATAAATAAACAAAAAATCATATTAAGTACTCGAGTACGGACTATCTCAGTCTCTGGTGCTTGAACATAAATTCTTTTTTATAGGTATATAAACACCAAACAACTTCCGGCTCAAGAGCAAAATAAGATGGCTCTCAGCCAGGGTATAAGAGGGTCTTTGACCCCAAATTCACTGGCAAACCGCCTCTTTCACCAATTCCCCCACCCAGACACATGCAGCTGAAAATGCATTTGGAGTATGTGACCGCAGAAACACCGAAAACCAAAAACGAAAAAGGGTCAAATGGAGCGCCGGAAATCCAAGAATGAATGAAGTGGAAGACATGAATGGAAATAGGCGAAACAGGATCACATGAGTATGGCATGGCCAACAAAAAATGTAGGCGGCAAAAAGTGCAGGGTAAATGTGCTCGTTAGTGGTTTTCTGGTTGAGTTTTCCCTGTCGATGGCCTGTGAGTCCACCATTTTTTGTGAATACACCAGATTCGTATCCGTATCGCATAAATTCCGTCGGCAGCGGCCTCGTTTGGCCAATTCTTCTGGCCTTTTCCGGGATTCGTTGGTGAATGTTTGACTTTAGGCAAAGTCAACACGCAATTTAAATAACAATTGGCCTTTCTTGTGAGCGTGCTTGTGGATGAGTGTCATTAGCAAGACATTTATTCGCCTCAGCTGAGCACCCAACACATGTTTATGCATATCATCAACCTTTTGTCAAGAATAAATTAAGTCAAGGCCAGGATTTTGCTGACAAGGCAAAACATTTTGCAGAACATGTACGACTCAATGTTCGGTGAAAGCTGTATAAGAATTTGGGGCCTTGGCAGCTTGGGTAGCATTATTTACAGAGTTGGATGGATAAGCGATCAAAATAGCATAACTAAAAATAAAATACCCATAACTATAAGCTTGTTTAAGACACGGTTACAAGTTCAGAAAAATTTTATTAAAAAACTTGATACTGATAATTTATATTCTAAATCTGAGTTTAGTACATACCCTAAGCTTTTCACAATACCCAAATGTTTAAGCGTCTGAAAGCATCCATGTGTTGAGTTAATACGCACATCCAGGTGAGCTTGGTGGAATTATTTGACCTGGTCAGAACGACTTACTAGTCACCTGCCCAACTTTATCCTCTGTCGGCACTGGTGGCAATGCCTTTCTATTTTTCGCCTCATCCCTTACACATTCCCGTTTTATATAAGACCGGCTTTGGCATTGTTAATGCCAAAACATTTTTACCCACTTGGCAAATTTACGTATTTCCCAGCCCCTATGTCTGGGCCCCTCAACCCCCCAATGTCACGGCATTTGTACTTTCCTGCACTTTAGTGAGCACACAAATCCGCACGAGAAACGGAGAAAAAAGGGATTTTATCTTCCAGTCGCTTGTTGCTTTTGGCTCCTTGAAGTCGCTGTGCGGACATTTCCGGCTGGAGGAATACGTATGTAAGTCCTGACATGGACTTATCGCTGGTCCAGATTTATGCCGGAGCCAACAATGCTGCTGCTGATTGTGGAAATTAACAGCTTCGGTCCTATGCAACATTAATTTATGGCTTAAACGGCGAGCAAAAACAGTTTGGACATGATTGAATTTATTCGAAACTTCGGTGGCCGCCACTGCCGTACGCCCATTGAGTATCGAATAGCATTTCCCACACGACCAGGAATTTCCCCCGCTGCACACACCAACCACTTCCACCAAACACCATCGTTGCCAAGTCATCTGTGCTGATTTCCATGGCAAATTTCGGCTTTCGCACCATTCATTGCCATCGCCGAACAATGGATCCAAAAAAGAAACCGAAAGTGGGAAAAAGTGTCTGCATTGAGACAAATTTAATGAAATTTCAAATTGCCAGTCGCCTTCTGTCTAGATCTCAGGATGCTTTTGTCTCCTCTCCGTTTTGTCAACGCTAAAAGAGGTCATTCTGGGTTTCGCTTTGAAAGTTGCAAATTAAATTTTAAGTCGCTGAAAACATGCCTTGGAACGCGTAAATGCGATAGAGTACTTAATCGACCAATCTGCCTTTATTCAATTAGAACAATTTTTATAAGGCGAAAACAATACTATTTTTAAACCATTTATTAAATACAACAAAACAATGATTGTGTTTATTTTTTTATAGGATCGAAATAGTATCCAACTTAGAAAAAACACAAATAACATAATTTGGAAATAAAAAAACCCTAAATAACAATATTTTTTTCAAGAAGTTTAAGATTAGTGTTTCTTAGCCCGGAAATGTGAGACAAATCGGATTCGGCGAGTGTGAATATCGGAATCGGCTCCGTGCGTCCTTAGTTCTCCGCCTCAGTCGTTGGCTTTGCATGTCGGACACGACTGACTCAAGTCGACTCGTTCAGGGTCTCTTTTGTGCCGCTGTGACAGCTGCTCATTTCACGCTTGGTAATTTCAATGAATTTCGCAGGGATCCTGCAGGACATGCCACGCCAACCAGCGCCACGGCACGCTATCCACTTATTTGTATGCCGCTCATTAATTAAATTTTCCCATTTATATTGATTATATTTAGTTTGAATAGTTTATTTTGCATCATTATCTAAAATTGCCAGACAACTTGGCATGAGAAAATGTTTGTAAATTGGATCAACTTACTTTTGAAGTTTTTTATTTGGTAAAATAATATTGCCTGTATTTTATTGTTGCTGTGGTATCCCTTACTAACAAATCTTCATTACTTCTTGGTTCAGTAAAGACTGATGTAATTGGTAATTCTACCTCTCCATTAGATAATGGGGTGTTTAATTTCTTACAAAAAGGTGCATGCAGAATAAATTAATAGCTAAAACCATCATTTGTTTTTAATTTAAGTGTAAACTTTTTTTTGTACACTTGGCCCTCGCTTAACACGGGCTTCCTGTTTTTCCTTAAATTTGTTCAGTCTTATTTGTTTGTGAAGCGACGAATTTTTATGTTGCTGTTCATGGCAAAATGTCACATTTATTTGGTATTTATATGTGCATACACATATTTATATGTGCATACACCTATTTGTGGCACTTACCTGTTGAAATGTCTTTAATGCGGTGTGCATTAAATAAACAAATATAACAATATTTCGTCTTTTTCCTAAAACACAAACCATGAGTTCGACTTAATATATCCGACTTTATTATTATACAGATCAATATAAAGTAAAAGGCACACCACTTCAAATTTAGTAACCAACTATTAAGCAACATTGGAACTGTCTTGTCCGAGCTTCCACCACTACATCCTCCTCCTACCTCAGCATGTCCGCGTAGCGAACGGGCAGATAGGCGAAGAAGCTGTTGAGCACGGAGGAGCCTCTGACCAGGTGGGGTTGCAGGGCCTGCCAGCAGATGCGGGTCAGGTTGAGGATTCTGTCGTTGAGCGGCATCCGGTAGTTCTCCTTCAGTTTCTTGCTCAGCGCCTGCAGGCGTTTGATGTCGTCGTAGGTGTCTTTCTCCGAGTATCCTTGTCGTTTGGCACTGGGCGCCATGGTCAGTTGGTTCTCCACGCTCGCAAAGATGTTCAGACCCTTTCGGATCATCTTGCCGATCTCCTCGTAGCTGTAGGTTTTCCCATATCGACGCTTTATCCACTCGTGCATCACGGCCGACTTGTGTGCGTCGGGAAAAGCGGCAAAGACGCAGCGCGGATCCCGCCGCAGTATGGAAAAGCCATCCTTCAGCAGACGCTCCATCATTTGCAGGTTGTCGGGATCGAAGTGGGTGATCTCCCTGGACCAGTCCAGGTCGTCCTTACTCTGGCCGCAAAAGTGGTGCAGTTTGGATTTATCTGACTGGTCCGAACCGTTTTGCTTTTCGGATTTCAAAGACGCCTGGTTCCGCTGATGGGCTTCCAATGAGCCGAACCACATGTTCTGGGCACACTCCACGATGGCAGCCACCACCTGGGCCCGCGGATCCACCCTTTCGTTGTAGCCACCCTCGCTGGAGGGACAACTCTCCTCCCTCAAGGAGCGAATGGCCTCGCCGCGGATCACGTCCCTGGGAGCGGGATTCTGCTCCCGCGGTGCCACCTCGTGGTAGTGGAACAAAAAGGGACTGCACCGGCCAGGCCTCTGGAAGAAGCGTCCCGGCTTCTGGGGCTTCGTGCAGGATGATAGCTTCTCATCGCCGACCTTCATCTGCGTCATGATCACCCTCCGCGGACGCTTCATGTGGCCGAGCAGAGGAGGCGGGCACTTGGCCAGCTTCTCCTCCTGCACCTCCACCGGGCAGGGGATGTCGTCCTCCGGATCCGAGACCCGCACTGTGCTCAGGCGACTCACGGTGCTCTTCCCGGTGATGACCTGGACTCCCAGAGTGGGTGCAGCATTCAGGCGCCCGATGTCCGCCTCGTGGAAGAGGTGCTTTATCTTATCCGGTTGCACAGCGGTCGGCACCTTGCCCATCGAACAGAGCTGGTCGTGATCCTCCAGAAGCACGACATCCGTGTGGTGGCGCTCACGGAGACGCTGCCAGCGGAGCGTGCACACCTCGATGTCCCTGTCCAGTTGCGCCACGATGCGCTTCCTGAGTGCCGCATCCTGGCGCGTCGTTATGTCGATGAGGGCCAGGCACTGCTTGTGCGCCTTGACCACGGCCGCGTCTTTCACCAGCTGCTCCTGCCGCAGCGCCTCCTTGTGGAACTCGCAAATGGGCATCGTCTCGTCCCCGGAACGCGGGCCATCCTCTCCGCCCATCTGGCACCAGTAGTCGCCCATGATGTCGCCGACCATTTGGAAGAGCATCCGCTTCACCGGCTGAAACTTGTAATGGGCGAACCAGCGGTTCTCGTCGTTCACTTTGTAGTTGGGCCTCTCGCCGGCGGGCCAAAAGGGGAAGGTGACCACGAGGCAGGGTCGTCTGGTGGTGAACTTGCTGCCGCCGCGGGGCACCTTGGGCTTGGGCAGCGGCGTGAAGTAGGGCGAGCGGACGCTCCGCAGGTCCGAGACCCGCATGTTCGGAGTGGGCGGCACGGAGATGGAGGTGGTGGCCACCAGTGGCGCGATGGACTTCTTGATCCTGTTCAGACGCTCCACGCCCGGCGGCAGGATGCGGTCCAGTTCGCGCATCGTCATCTCCAGGTCCATGAACGTAATGGCCGCCATCAGGATCCGCTCGCTGTAGACGTATCCTGCGCCCTTGTAGCAGGCCTCCAGCAGGAAGTAGAGGAAGGCCAAATCGCTGCCGCGGCACACGTTGAGCAGCTTGCGCAGCATCCGCGTCTTCACCATGGGAGTGACTCCCAGCCGACTGAGGCAGAACTGGGTGCGGTACACAGTCGCCTCGGCTTGGTCGTCCCGGATGGAGAAGGCCAGGGCCTCGATGGCCTCCACCTGGAAGTCGGACAGGTTGCTGAACCACGTGGCGCCCACCGGCGCTGGACGGTCGCGCATGGTCTAATTGTATAATTTGTTTGGTATTTCGAACAATATAAAAGGCTGGTTAAAATCACTTAAAATTTTGATTAGTGCTGCGGATGTGAATGCTTCCGGTAGAGTAAAAACCTAACTGAGTCATGTCTGTTTGGATGTAAAGCTAGTTGCAACGCACACTTCTCGTTTGTGCGGACTCAAGGTTTGATTATATTTTTAGAAGATTGAATACATTTTAAAAGCTTTTAAGCACACACAAAATAGTTTATCCAATTAGAGCTCAAATAAAATTATATATCATATTTGCCAGATTTGTGCGCATATAAGTACTTAAAAAATAATTTCAAGTGTAAAACTTCAAATTTATTTTTTCTTTACCCCCATAAAAGCAATTCTCATCGTTTTTTTATATCACATCTTTTAGTTTGTAGCGTTTAAAGCAATTCTAAAGAAACTGTTTACCTTGTACAAACTTCAATTTACATTCGACAAACACATAACTAAAATATCTTGTATCGTATTAAAAAGGATTTTTAATATTGATACAAAAATTGTACCTTAATAATGCACTCTCAATTTATGAGTATTAAAGTTTATTGGTCCTCAGTAGTCTCATGTTTTCACTCAACATTTTACCTTAAAATAAGAACCAAGGGAAATATTTTAACATTCCCAATACGAACAAATAGAGTATGAAAACAAAGTTTATCTCGAATTGCAGCTGAGTGCAACTTACATAAAAAACTGGCACAGATAAATACATTTTCACATCCATCGTTCAACTCATCCTCACTGAATTGACACGACCCACAATTATCGACCACCAATCAGCGATGATTGAGCCAATTTCATCGGTATCTGAGACTGCATTGAAATGCCATTAATTTGCCAACAGGTGGATCCTCTTATTGTTGCCACTGCCTTATGCAGTGCTCTTTTTAGCCGTCTCCCACACGAGGACCAGGACACCACATCCTCGCACCCCCCTCCCCCCAACTGACAACTGACAATGATGGATTAGTATATCAGAGCGGGTCAGGACATTCATTTGCTCTTTGTTTCGTAGTCTGCGGCAGGACCACACATCCTCCTCCCTGGGGACTAATAACTTTATCCGTCATCAGAGCGAAATATAATAGAGTAATTTTCTATGTGACGCGCCAAGATAATTGGCTGGACTTGGACTCTGACTTGACCATATGTCGCTGCACTTGCAATCAGATGAATTGTGGCAGGAGGTGAGGCTCCGCCGGCTGGGGTCGCCAGAAGAATGGGCAAATCACATAAATTACTTTACGATGGCGCTCGGGCCATGAATCTGGTGAGAGAGGAAAAACTTTCTTTTAGCCCGGCACATGTGGTCACGGAAGGGCAAAAAAAAAAAAAAGAGAAATAGGTGGCAACTTCCAGACTGCCGCAAGGAAGCAACAAAAGTCATTTCGAAGTTATTACCCCGCTCCCCCAACTCCCAGTCCACAATATTAAAGCTGGTCAGTCAGTTGCCATTTGTTTGTCGCTTCATAAAAAATAGCGAAGAAGGCGGGAAAACAAAAGTTTTCCTTCTTTTGCTCTATGAACTTTGGTCAGCTTCGCTCTGCGACAAAGTTTCTGCCTTCTATTTTATTTTTGGCCAATTTTTGTTTGTGACTGACCATTCTGAGAATTTTTATGTATTCTTCTTTTTTTTGCTGCCGAAAAAGTTTCCCATTCAAGGAACTGGCTTGAAATATGCAATTTCAAATAAAATTTAAGTTTTTCAGTTCCTTCTGCTAGCGCAATATGCAAATGATTAAATTTGAACACACAGGCCGTGGGGAGCTTGAAAAAAGTTCAAAGAACTAAGTGGATAGTGGTGTTTAAGTTGGATTAGATTCAAAATAAACTTGAATACGTATTTGAAATAACCTTCAATACAGCAATTATCTTTACAAAATAAATTTATTGTAATGAAGGAGCAATATAGAGTCCAATATGAGAAGATTGGCAAGATGGAAGCTTCTCGCGATGAGAGTAAGAATAAACTTAAGGACCGGCTTCTTCTGTATTTAATTCCTTACAGGTGAAAACAATCGAATCATTGAAAAAATAGCTGTGTGCGTGTCCTGGTTTTTGGTGGTGATATTCTTACCCTTCTCGCTGTGCTTTTGTTTGATCGTGGCCGCAGAGTACCAGCGAATTGTGATGTTCCGATTGGGTCGTATCAGGTGATACTACCCTCAGGAATGGTCTATATTGGTAATACCATTTCCTCATCTTAGGAACTGCTTTGGTCCAGGTCTCGTGTTCCAGCTGCCCTGCGTCGATTCCTATGATACGGTGGATATTCGCACAGATGTGGTGGATGTGGATCCCCAGGAGATGCTAACGAAGGATTCGGTTACGATCACAGTGAATGCGGCTGTTTTCTATTGCATCTACCATCCCATCGACTCGATCATCAAGGTGGACGATGCGAAGGATGCCACCGAACGGATTTCCCAGGTCACCCTGCGCAACATCGTCGGCTCGAAGCCACTCCACGAACTATTGACCTCCAGGCAGCAGTTGTCCCGGGAAATCCAGCAGGTGGTGGCCGAGATCACAGCTCGTTGGGGCGTGCGGGTGGAGCGAGTGGACGTGTAAGCCAACACTCGACCTTTAGTTGACCCCTACTTTTTGAGGCTTCCTCCCCAGAATGGAGATTTCCTTGCCCAGCAGCTTGGAGCGATCCTTGGCCAGCGAAGCGGAGGCGGTGAGGGAAGCGCGGGCGAAGATAATTTTGGCCGAAGGAGAGGCCAAGGCCTCAATGGCTTTAAAGGAAGCCTCCGATGTGATGTCCGGCAACCAAATTACCCTACAAGTAAGCATCCGAAAAGGTGCTTTAAGGAGCAGTGATCCGTTCCCTTTTATCCCTTTTCTTCACAACTTAGCTAAGGCATCTGCAAGTGCTGTCTTCTATGGCCTCGGAACGTCGAGTCAATATTATTTTCCCCATTCCCTTGGAAATTATGGAACCATTCAAGGATGGAAATGAGTCGCCTGCATCAGAACAAGATGACGACGATCAAAGGGACGCTAAGAAAGATCAATCTGATTACTCAAATATGTTCTCACCAAAAGTTTACATTATGGGACCTCCACCCGAAACTGAAGGTGCAGAATTCAGTGATCCCAAAACGGGCCGATCGTGGAGGTGGCCACCATTCTTTGGGGCATCGCGAAGTGCTTCCAGTAGTAGAAGAGATGGCCAGCCATCGACCAGCAGAGGCCCCAACCGAACAGATGAGGTCGAACCCTACCCACTTCTATCCAAGCCCTCACCTCGTTCTAGTTCCGCTCCCTCTAAGCCTTCTCCTACGCATATTCCACCACGTCCTGATCCGCCGGTTCTTCCTCCGCTCCCTTCTCATCCGACGCTTCCTCCCATTCCTCATCCCACTTTACCGCCACTTCCAGAGCGTCCCACACCTCCTCCCACATCTTCTTCTCCTCCACAAGAAGAGACCCCAAAAGTACCAAAGTCCGACAAAAATTACTATTTTTAGACCCTTTATAAATTAAAAATTATTACTTTTGATCATGTTTCTTAAGCTAGAGCAAAATGTACTATTTTGTGATAAAATAAATATTATAAAGAAAACTTTATATACGGAAATGCTTAGTTATCTTTGTAACGTAAACTGCTTCAAATCTAATACTAGTACAGATAACCACCTCTATAAAAATATTTTATTAGAGCTAATTAAAATGTGACAAGCACTTCCACGTTTTATTATTTTAATTTTTGACAGTGTTCGACATCAGTGTATTTTGATATATAAATTAACACAAACCTAAGTTCAAATAAAAGGACGATATGAATTTTATTTCATTCTTTAGAATACCAAAAAATCAAAGCAAGTTTTTTATGCAAGCATTTCAATATAAATGTTAGCTACATTTTACTTTCGTAAAAATGTCAAACCACAAAGAAATATGCGGTGGCGGACTTGAATCAAAATGCAGTTCAGAAGACGCTATCGAAAAGCCACCAGGACATAAAATGATCACATCCCAGGAATGCCTTCAGCTGAAACGTGATCTGGAATCGGGGGCTCAGGATGAGTTCGAAGTTAGTCCCATGATCCTTTGCCTGATGTTAACCTTTTTGCTTTTTGTGATCGGCTTCTGGATCTGGCTGATTTCCAAGAGTTGTCTCTTTGCCCAATCCGATGGGAATGGAAAAAAGAGCGACTCATATCGTAGGCTTTCAGGAGGTAGTAATCCAAAGCCCATCACTCCAAATGTCCGCTTCTTGGAAAGATTGCCCCCCACCAAAGAAGAGTCGTCTTGTAAACAAACAGAGACCTCTGACACCTCGTCGGAAATCAAGGTGTCTTCGCAACGATGGAAAAGCTGTCCATTGGATTTGTGTCGGGAGGTTTCCAATGAATTTCCCACCCAAGGCATTCTTAAGGCTAACTACTGTAATTTAATGGAGTTGCCAACCACATCGACAACTTGCATTCCACCAGTCGCAGAATTGGAGTCAGGCGCTGTTGCGGAAATCAAATCAGGATCAACACTAAAAGGAGCAAACGAATCCTTTTCAAGCCAGAGCTGTCCAAGAATCTCACCAATGCCGGTTAGGAATGGATTGGATGTGTCCACTAGTCAAGCTGTGGCCGGATCACCACTAATCTATGGCAGTATGCCCTCAAATTTTGGCAGGGAAAACACCGTGCCCAAAAGGAAATACCGTATAAAGTGGTCCAATTTTATGAATCGTGGTCACAGGGATCACATCGATACCCAAAGCACTCAATGAATGTTTCCTTTCTTTAAAAATAACGAATAATTGCACATTTATTAAAAATAATAAAATTATCAAGAAATCATTGTGAACAATTTGTCAATTAAAAAAGGACCACTCGGTCATTAATTTTTTTTTACAGATCTCGCTGCTTTATTTTGCTATTTGTAGAAAAGTGTAAAAATAGTTTTAACTGATTTAAAATTCTCAAATAACTCTTATTTACGATCCCTGGACATAGCCCATTTGAAAGTCCTTATACCTCACTGCAAGTGTTTAAAAAAGCCTCAATAACAAATTTTCTTATAAACTAGCTAGAATAATAATATTTTTCATTTTCGACAATCTGATTTACAATTTTCCGTTGGTATACAAAATATAAGTTCCCTTTATCAAATCAAGCCAAATTGAGAAACAAAGGAAATTTAAGCAAGCTCAGGAAAAAATAACGAAATGAGAAGCAATTTATCTGGAAAATATTCGTTTCAAAGGTAACGAAATGAATCCAGCCTGCAGACTGAACCTGGAGGGCACGGAGTGCCAGCAGTGGATGAACGAGGTGTGCGCCCACTGCGCCCAGTTGCTGCCCAGTGCGGATCAGGCGGAGCTGTGGGACAAGTGGTGGGCGGACGACCTGCCCGCTCCCTTTAAGAACCGCGTTAACCTGATGTCCGCCTACGACTGCCACAAACTGCGCAGGGAGGTGGCCCGCCAGGTGGCGGCTCACGGGGATCAGGAGCGGTACGAGGCCGGGGGCAATCACGTCTGGTGGTCCGTCTGTCGGGGAATCCTCCTGGTCCTGGTTTTGCTTTCCGTGCTGATCGCCATGGTGTGCGCCCTGCGAATCCTTTGCAACGCCGTCCGCCGTTGGTCACTGTCAACGCCCGTGGAATGCAGTCCTCCGGCGAAGGTAACGCCCGAGAAAAGGAAACCGCCACCGCCCCCGTCCACGCCAACCGATGTGGAGACCCCGCCCCAAGAGGATCCCTGCAAGCCGTCCAAGCAGCCCAAGTCCTTCATCTCCTTCGGCCGGAGCACCGATCCGCGCACCCGCTACGGCCCGTACAAGCACCAGAAGCTGCTCAAGACGGAGTGCCAACCGGCGGAGGCGGAGTCCCAGAAACAGCCCTATCCCGCTTTGAAAAAGCCAAAGCCAAAGCCAGCATCAACACCCCGACCGGCGGAGAAAAGCGGCCAGCACGCCGAACAGCAATCGACGAAAAACAAATCGGCCACAAAATAACCGACCGGGGAGTGCTGGCCAAAAAATCGAAAACAAATTCGAAGGCTGTCCAAGCTGTGCTCAATCGCGGATAAGATTTATGAAATGTGTTCCGCCCCGATTTGTTCTCTTTTTCCGGGTTCGCTTCTAGTTGGTTTGGGTTTCCTTTTTTACGTAGCCGTGCAGCGGCGAAACACAAAAACAAATAAATATTGAAGCGGAGGCACAGTGGTTCTCTGCTGGCCCAAAAACAATATAATTCTAGAAAATAGTAACGTCTGTATAAATTCATTTCTTAGCAAGAATTATTTTTTTTAAATTTGTTTTAAAGTATCAGATGATGATTGGAAGAAACTTTTCTTAAAATTATAATTAATTTAAGCTATGTTTACAATCGCCAAAACTTATCGTAAAAATAGCAAAGGTAATATCCACAAGAAATATAGTTTTCTGAGGTAAGCAAACGGTTTAAACTGTTTAGTTTAGTTAAATTTGAATAAAAGGTGTCGGAAGGGATTTTTTATTTAAAGGGAAGTGTTTGGAATGTTGAGGATTTAATATGAAACGATCTGTTCTTTTTATGAATACAAATGGGTCGTTCTTTAGATTTAAGATTTGGGTCAATTTTTTATTCATTGAATGAGTAAACAGATGCAGAAGTTTTATTACAATTTATTTTATATACTTAAATATAAAAATTGTTTTGACTAAACAAAAATTGTGTTTCGTGTAATGAGTAATACTGAATCGCATTCGGGGCAAACAAAATACACCCATTTATGGAAGTATTTGAGGTGCTCAAATCCACTGTGGATAGGGGCTGTCGGTGGCGGGATCGGGATCGGGATGCACACCCGAAAACATGCATGCCGTACATTTGGCCCGGGTGACCTCAGAGAAGTGGCTGGCCAAGTGTTGTTCCTGGCAGCGTATCAACGTTTTGCCTATAAATACGGCGGATGTCGTTAATCTCAAATACAGGCAATTTTTAAAAATGCATGGGGTATTGTTTATCGCACGCCCGACTGGATGGGCGGATGGTTCGGAGGACGGAGGCTGGAGGCCGGAGGAGAATGAGTGAGTGTCAGAGTGCATGGGATTGGCAATAAAGAAACAATTGAATTTAATTTCAATTGAATGCACACTCAAATCGAAATTGTAGCAAACAATTTAGACAGAATGCATTTGTTTTCATGTTATTTCTAAATGATTGCTCAAATTATGGCTGCCAGTTCAAATTTATAAGCCACTTTCCGCCGCTCTCCGGCATTTATTTTTTATTTAATGAATTTATTTTCGGATTGAGCATGGGAGTCGCATCGTATATTCCGAACTGGTGTGTCACAGCAGGCGTGGTGCTTAAATCACGGCCGCAACTGTAGCGAAATTGAAAACTTTTACTATGCTGTATGTTTGTTTGGCCATTCGCTGGGATTGTTTGTTTGTTTGTTTTTTGGTTGGTACTTTTAATTCATTCCCTGCAGCTGCCGACCTATTGAAACGGAGAGGAAGAGATCGGGAGGCTGGGAGGACGTCGACCCCTGGCTGACTTTGATTTATTTGTTGGTCCCGCTATCCAAATGGAATTAAAAGTTTAACAGCTCTGCATTGAGCTTTAGTGCTTTAAAAACGCATTGATTGCTATTGACAAATTGATTTTCTTTCCTGCCCGAATGGCAGTTTCAGTTCCATTCGGCTGCATTAACAAACACCACTGCGAAATTATGACAGACTGTCGTCGTAAATCAGCAGCCGCAGACCGCAAACGAGCTGAGGCCTCTGTTTCTGGTCGTGTCAACCCTTTTGGCCAGTCATTCGACCTTAAACGGTCGACAGTCGGACATTTAATTTGGGCAAACAATTTAATAGGTGTTCGTTTGAAGTATTTGCCATAATTAAACTTCAATGTGCATGCAATGCAGTGCAATATTTGCAACTTCTTGAGTCAAATTAGAATTCGATTTGCTGCCGCATGCCTGCAAATTTATTTATCGATTCAATCACCGGGCCATTGATTGAGGTTCGTTCACAATTTATTTACCCACATTGATTTGTCCCTTTGGGTCTGTGTTTTGAAGCATTGCCACATTGTTTGCCCCTTCTTTGAACTGAAATTGATGAAGCAATGTTTTTGATCCTGTGCTGCAATCCATGCTGCGTCTCCCATTGTTGCTCCGACCGAAGTCCGGAGTGCTTCCTCCGCCATGTGGCATTCGTAAGCAGGAAGGCACACATCCATTCCAGGGAGCGGCGACAGCTGGCGGTTGCGGGATGTTGGTGGGTCGAATGGTTGAGCAGGCATATTAGAATTTGATAAATGTGCAGCACGGAACCAGGACGAAATGCACTGGGATATGCGTTGCACTGGGAGAACGTATTGTGGTTAATATCTGACATTGTGCCAGAAGTGAGTTAATTGCTACGAAATAAGACTTAGGTTTGAATAAAATTAATTTGTAAAACGATGCAGTCAAGTCTATAAGAAAATGGAGACCGTGGGAACTATAATAGAGATTGGGATTATGAGTACTGTTTCCTAAATAAACAATATTGCAGGTTTCGCTAAGTTGGGACACCGGCATATAGATTATTCCTGTGCTATTGTTTAATTTATCCAAACTCAAAAGGTAAAAAGTTTCAAAAATAAAGCTTATTTCAAGCTTAATATAATGGTGATATATGTATAATCAAATCGTTATAAAAGTCAAAAATTCTTGTTAAATGGACTGGCTAACAAATTCCAAAATTTATTGGATAGATCAGATTGTACATGTTTGATCGCAAAACATGTTTCATACCCTAATATAATTTTTCATAGTGCAGTGCAGCCTGTTTTCAGGGTTCAAGCTTCATTCTTTACACGATTTAACTCGTTGATTTTGTGGCTTACACTCATTAAGCCAGCCTGGCCCCCAATGCCATTGTTTGTATATGAGTCGAAAGGATGGGGAGATGGAAAAAGCTGCTAACCGACCCTGGACAATCACCAGAGCCCTCTTACTTTAGCCATTTAAGCAAGCTGCACAACGGCTCTTTGTTTGATTGAGACTAGCAGTAGGTCTTTGGCACGGAGTTGGATTCGCATGCGATTGCTCATACGCCCCATGTGCCCACGCCGTACGAGGCCACTACCCCTCATCGCTAAAGATGTGGTCTGCATGTCGACGCTGATTTTTATTCTCGGTCTTGGTCTCGGTCTCGGTTCTCGACTTGATTTATTTCAACGCCCTTGCGCCGGCTGCAATCCTCAGCTGGCCATTGTGCTGCGAGTCTCACTTTTCAAGAACTCAAACAAAGTATTAAATCGCACAAAAGCGATATGGAAAATATTAATAATATGCCCGGCCAACGATCCTTTGGCCACAGTCTCGGAATTTACGATGGGCCATCGCTGATTTATTCCGCCCACGACCGCGCCCCCACGGTTTGACCTCATTTCATATTCAGGGGTCAGCCTCTGCGGTTTTAAAGAGTACAAATATGTGGGCCAGCAGATTGTTGTACTAATTTTCTTCAGAGTTTATCACAGGCTGCCATAAATGCTGCATAATTCAACGGGATGGTCGCTGAAGTCATCGCCAATGTTGGTAGTATCAATTCAGAGCGCATAATGTGGCAATCGACAAGCGAACAATCGGTAAATATGAATTTTAGATTTGATTGAATTTGAATGGCAGTGGGAGGGTGTGTATTTGTGCGCATTTCGCTGCGCAAGCACCCAATTTTACAAGACATAATGACGATATCAATGGATTTGGGTTCCAATCTATTGGTACTATTTGTGTTTGACTCAAATGTTCATAAAGCATTACCGTACAATTACTGGGTCGTTTAATTACAATTTTCTAAATTAAAGGTGTGTTTTTGGTTAGCATAATTAAGGAAATCGAGTTAAAAGTTTCAATTCAAAAATATGTTGAACCAAAAACTATAATAATTTAAGGCCAGTTATTAAATTATTATTGTTGGAATTGAAACATTTCAAGTTAGAAATAGTAAAAAAACATCAACTACACGTTATTTCTCAAAATTTGTAAAATATTTATTAGTATAGAAAAGTAATAAAAATATAAATTATTTATTTATTTAATTTTTTATATAGGTCTATAGATGATTTGTTATTGATTTTTTGATATTATTCCGCATAAACAGATGTGCATTTTCATATATATTATTCCTTTAACAATTGCGAGAAGTATTTGTAAGGGCTTTTAAACCCTTGACTCTAGTAAATAAACCAATTAAGGATAAGAGCTTTGTTACTCTAATAAATAAATAAATACAATTTACCCATTTCCCAGCAAACACCATTGTGTTTGCCATTGCCTCCGTCATTCAAAATTGACTCTTTAATTTATTGGCAGCTTTTAAAACTGTACTTAAATACATCAACTAAGTGATAATGCTAAAGCAAAGGTAGCTTTAAGCACTTTTAATTATTTGAATCGTTGATTGAATGTGCACACTTAAAATAATTGTTAATTAAATGGATTTATGCAAAGTCATGCGGCTTTTGTAAACTTTAGGTTGTCATTATAAATCATTGATAAACGACAGCACTGAACAGGGCAGAGAGAATAATTAAACAATTTAATGATGGTTAATAACAAGTCTTTGTGACAACCTTAACCTCAACTGTGATGCTTCGAGCCCGACAACCTTTTTGATAATGTGCAAATCAGTTTTCACAGCAAATTAGGCAGCCACACATTATAACTTTGACAGACAGGTCCGACCCCCCAGGGCATCCTCGACCGCAGATCCACCTCCTCCTCGTCAAGCAACCCCCTCATCGTTTTTCGGAGACAGTGCAAAGTTCGCCTCGAGGCTCCTTAGAGTACACATGTAGCATATGTATGAGGAGGATCAAAAGTTTTAAAGCAGCTGCCGCCGAAGGAAAACGGGGTAATCCTCCACCACCCACAAGCCCCTCACGAAAGTCACACAGAGGCCATTGTGATACAAAAAAAAACTTTTCGCGGCCACGGGACCATGAAAGAGCCAAGAAAATTCAAACAAAAGTGCAACAACTTTGGAGGCAACGGTTGCGAATTCCCTTTTATTTTCGCGCCGCCCGTAGAAAAAGTTTCCTTTTCCATTCGAATGACACTTAAACAC